CCCTCCTGCCCCGCTCTATTCCCTTTCCGATTCTTCACGAGATTTCGTTTTAAATATCCGACTTTGTTTCTGCAATCATTTTTTAACCGTCATGTTATGTATTATCCCTCCACTATAATTGCGTAGCCGTAACTTTTCTGCTGGGTTAGGATTTAAGGGAACCAGATATGTTGACGTATAAAAAGAAAATATATATATATATTTTTTATATATATTTTTTTTATATGTATTTATATATATATATATGTATTTTAATATTTTGACGTTATCCTTTTAATCTCTCGACGGGGAGACGGTTACACGCGGACTTGTATTCTCTGTCGGTAGGCAGCTTTAGCAGATTTTCACGCGATTCCTTTTAAACCTAATCCCAGCGATCGTCCCGAGTATCGTCGTGTAATGCTAGCGAATGTTCTCCACGTTCGATTATGGTTTAAGTTCCGAGTCTTAAGTTCTAGCTTCGAATTATACTTTCTGCAGCGATGACGATGTTTACGTGCTGATTTGTTCAGTTTCGTTTTCCCAACGCGAGGACACCATTCGCTGCTCCTCCTCCGTCAACCGAGAGGGGGGAACAGATCGTACGATAGTCGCGATGATTTCTCCACGATTATTTATTTTCGAAAATGATCCTCGGGTGTCCTCGCTGTAAAGAAAAGATGAGAAATGAAAAATGAAAAAGAAAAAGAAGAAAAAAAAAAAAAATAAAAAGCTTAGTATCCTCTGTTACGTTGAAAAATTGTGTGCATGTTTGTACCCACGAGCGAACCGAGAAACTCAAGCCGTTTTCCACAGAGTTTTCCTTTCTTTTTTTTGTAAACAAACGATTCAGCACGAGATCATATTAAAATTCGTTTCCTTTACGTCTATTTTCTGTTCCTGTTAATTTCGACACCCGGACACGAGTATACACACCCATACACACACGCACAGCACACCGCGTGTCGAATCCAGAATCCGAACTGCGCCCTCTGACTCGCGGTTCCAAGTTTCGGCCACCCACCCCCTTTTCGACCAACGCGGACCTTTTACTCTCGCGTCGCGTCTTCATTCGGTTTCCAATGCAACTTCGGTGCACACCAAAGTATATTTTCTAGTAAAGTAAAACCACGTTCGCATCGCGGCCAAGAGAACCATCGCGAGGAGGGAAAATCGGAGCCCGAATTCGATCGAGTACCGCGCCGCCGTTGCCGGTCAAACATGGCGTCGAAAGCGGCGCGAGAAATGGCGATTCGACTGGATTCGACATATCAAATATACGATTGCGCCTGTCTACCCTTAGTTGGTCGTACGTACGTAGGTACATATGTATTGTGTATACGTATACATGTGTATAAAAATATATATTCTATACTTTCGTATCTGTATAACTCGTATGTCACTATTACGATGGTAACTTTCTACCATGAACTGGGCAGAAACGTAAAGATTGCGTTCCGACCAAGTTTTCCTTCGATCGTGCGCGTGCATGAGTATGTATAGTCGCTGGAAAAAGGTACACCCGAATGGGCGTTGTAACCACGTTACAACGAGCCCGCGTTGTTTTATCGGTTTAATTCGAAACGGGTAAGAGGATGGAGGGGGGATTCTTCTTCCGAACGGACGCTACGCGCGTAAACGAAACGCTGGTCAGCTACTTTTTCACGCGACTACGTGATCACGCCCGCGTACACGGCCGGTGCTGTTTGCTTTCAGGAGCTGTCCCCTTGAAATACTTAGAGGAATCGCAAGAAGATACGCGAAACAGACAATTACGAGAATGAAATACGATATAGGAACGCATATGTATAAGTTGTATCGTGAAAATGCTCGCGCAATCCGATCACTTCACTATCTGTGATCCGAGGCTCGCCCACGGGCGGGTAATACGAACTAAAAATCGATATTAAGCTATTAATGTTATGTAATACAGATTCTCTAAGCGAGAAGCGTTCACGCTGTTGTAAGCGACGCGCGAGGAAAAATAAAGTCGCTCCAGATTTCGACGAACGACGTCATTGTCGAGCTCTGGTTTTTTCCCTCTCCCACTTCGTCTGTTTTTTTTTTTCCTCTTTTCTTTTCTCTCTCTCTCCTTTTTTCCCGTTCGACGTTGTTACTCGAAGATCAAGCGTGAACGTTTCTATGCATCGACGCCACCTTTTCCCCTCTCAGCGAGACCCATCGAGCGAAGATATTCGAAACGAAAAGACAGAGCGAAAGAAAGAAAGGATACAGAAAAGAGTGACGAGGAAGTAGATGAAAAAAAAAAAAAAAAAAGAAAAAATAACGTACGATCGGGAAACAGAACAGAAATGAAGCAATGGTCCTGCGACACAACACTAATGTATACGATTTTTCAACATGAAAATATTATATATTGTAGCTATACATATAGAGGTATATAAAAGAGAATAGTCCATAGGCAAAACTGTAACAGCTAAGTACATCATTGTAACGACGATGCTAATTAGTAAAACGAGATTTATTTTATTATCATCATGGTCGCTATTATTATTACTATTATTATTA